GGTGACCTGCTTGCAAGATGTGCTGGTTCAATAGTGGCCCAAATCTCATTGGAGTAATCAACCAATATCTGAATGGGTTTATTATCCACTCCATGCAATGGATCCAATTCCTGACCCAGGATGGGTGGTCAAGAACACGAGACTGAACAGGCCAAAGATCTAGATGAGAACAAATACTACTGTACTGCTAAAGGAATGCAACAATAAAATGACTCCTAAGGAAATTCTTCAATACACATTAATCAGTGCCTTGCTCAGCCATTATCAGGGAAAATGCCTCCTGAGGCACATGGGAACAAATATAGAGGTTCACAAGTGGCCAATGTGCAGAGAATGAAAAGCTTTGGAACACTCTGTCCTATATGGGATGTCTTCATCAAATTCCTCACATCAGGGCTCTGGGAACTCTGCAGAAAAGGAGGCAGAAAGACTGTAGGAGCCAGTGAGGAAGGAGCATACCAAGAAAGCAAGGCCTTCTAAAAACAGCAGAATGGATGCACAGAGATTATGGCAGCATGCACAGGGCTGGCATGTATACAAGTCAAACGGGGTTCCAGTGCTGAGAGGGGAAGTGCCCATGAGCTCCCATCTGTAACCCAGAAGGGATATACAATTGACAACCACTTGTAAAGGAAAAAAGAGCTATCGTCTTCAGAGTCTCACTGAGTATACAAACCACACTTAAGGAGAAGTTCCATGCCCAATAGTAGATGACCAACTCAAAATCTACTCAGTGGCAGTTTTGGAGGGTCTATGTATCACAATGCTTTTCTCAGAACTTTTGCTTTTTAGCCTTACAGGTCTATTACATTTATATTATAGCTTCCATGTTGTGTTTTTAAGGAATTTCTCTGTGTGTGTGTGAAGGTGTATGTCTCTATTTATTTGCATCTAGTACTTTTTCTTTAACATATTTTCTCTTCTGTTGGTTTTGTCCTATTCTTGTTTGATTATTTTTTTAATCTTATGTTATCTTACTATTACTTTCATATGCCTGTTTGTTCTCTAATGAAAGAGAGAACGAAGGGGTTTGAATATGGATGGGAAAGGAGGTGGGGAGGACCTAGAGGAGGAGAAACCATAATCAGAATATATTACATGAAAGAAATCTATTTTCAATAAAAGAGAAAATGGTTAACAATGTTGCATATTTCAGAATCTTATTCTAGACTCCTATTGGAAGTACAGCCTTGGAAGCTGCAACTGGGCAACTCTGATGTACACTCAAGCAAAAAAGGTCACTAATCTAGATGAACAAAGAGAGCCAATCAGTATAACAAATCCAAACTGAGATATCTGTCATGCACACTGTGATGTGTACACTTTTTCTAGAGCCATAATAAAAACACAAAGTATAATTTTCCATTCCTAAGTGACAATGTACTGTTGGAGTTGAACCTCATTGAATTAAGTGTACAATTCAGTTCAATCAATCAACAGGAATTTTGTCTAAAGCACATGGCTTATTTAATCAATTACTATTACTTGAGTTACCAGCCTTTCAAGGTCAAATTGTCCAGTAGAAAACCCAAGACCTTTCAAAAGAGATCTGTTTCTCTCTCAAAATAATATCCTAGTATATTTATCTACCCATATATTATTTTAAATATATAGCCAATCTTAAGATTTATATGAGCATATATCAATTATACAAAATGATGACATTTTCACACATGCATGTCACACCCAATATTTTATTGTCTTCTTCCTCTCCCTCTAGGCTTTTTCTTCTGTGTACATTAACATCTTTTTAAATCTAGATTTTTGCATATGAGAAGAGCATATATGATGTTTGTCTTCCATGCTCAAATAATAATCATGTCCTGAATTCAAAGTTAGTGCTCATTCCTATTGGCACTAACTCATTTTGAGCCCTCATTATTGCTGGCCTGGAAGCACACATTTTTTTTTCTCTCTCTAGCTAGTCAGCCTTCATTTACTCTTACCTTCTGTTCTTAATTAATTTTGGACATTTGCTATTAAATTACTCTTCATTAAAGCATAAGCTTTAATCACCTAACTGAACTGCTCCAGAATACTTGGAGGACTTCCCTGTGCATACTGGAAAAGCTAGAGTACTTAAATTCCATGTAAGGACTCAGTGGTTTGTCCCCAGTGTACCTTTCAAGTATAAACTCTGTGATTCATTCTCTTGGATAATCATCATTCAGACCTAGACCCCTTGCTTTGTTCACCAACATGATCTTTCTCCTGCTTTTTTTTTTTTGTGTAGAATGCTTACCACCATCTTCATAGACCCAACTCTCATATGCTCTTCAAGATCTCATCAAAATGCTACTTTGTATATGATATATTTTCTAAGTCAACATCCATTAAATCTGCATCATATTAGAGTCAATCAAGGGGTTATTAAATTTCAAAAAGAAGAGGACATGAAATTAAGGGCGTATGAAAGTGGGAGTGGATCTAGAAAGAGTTAAATAGAGGACATAGATGTGAGTATGATCAAAATACACTGTATGAAATTCTCAAAGAATTATTAACAATAATTTAAGAGATCTATGTCTTTACCACAAATATGACTAAATGAATTGTATTAAATTAGGTGTTGAATGTAGACTGGCTCCATTCTTTCCTACTTGCCAGTTTCTTTTCTGTTTTTGTTATTTTCACTGTGACCCAGGAAGCTATCATGTCACAGAAGGAAATGACCAATCAGATATAAGAGCCACATTTTGTTCTGACTGAGGGAATATGAGCAAAACACAAATACACACATACAAGTCTCCTATGTAGAGAGAATGTATTTTTCACTAATGTTGCCATCTATAAACAACAGTAATAACAGTAGTAGCTTATATTTAATGCAGAGAATATGCTGTATTGTATAGTATTACATATTATCATATGTAATAGTCACACAAGTCCTTGGAGGTAGATAATATTATCATTTCCATTTAATGTTGAATAAAGTGAAGGTCAGAAGAAAGAGAGACCCCAAAAGCTAAATTATTTTCACAAATACACACAGTTGATAAGTAGAGGAATAAATTAAACATTATGCTCAAATCTTCACCTCTTTTCCATTACTATCTTCTTGTTCTGCATTTTTGTTTGGTTAATTGATTTTTGGAACACGCATGTGTGTCTGTGTGTGTATGTGTGTGTGCCGGAAATTGAACCAAGGACCTATATGCCTACACCCCTCTTCATTTTGTTTTTAATTGTCCATGAAATATGTAGAACATAAAATTACTATTTCAAACAATTTAAGGTATATATTTAAGTAGCATTAAGAAAAGACACATTATAGTCTACTCAATCAACACCTTTTTATCTCCCAAAATTAAAACTTCGGGCACATTACAAAATTCTACATTCTCCTTGGCCCCAGGAGAAATTACAAATGTGATTTTTGAACAATAATCAAATATCTGGTTTTAATACACACTTTTTGCTTCATATGCTTATGGGTATTTGTGTGGCTTCCCCCATTTGGCTCTTGTGGACACAGCTGCTATGAACGTAGGCAAACAAAGAGTGTCTTCAAGGCCTTGCTTTCTACCATAAACATATACATAGAAGGAGAATAGCTTAATTATGTGGCACTTTTATATTTAATCTTTTAGAAATTGTCATGCTATTTCAAAGCTTTGCCCTTTGCCATTAATTATCTATTGTTGTCACACTGGCTGCCTAAAGGGACACCAAGCAGACCATCATTTACACTCAATAAAAAACAAAATAAGTTGGTTATCCACAACTGCATAAATGGTTAGATTAAGTGAATATACAAATAATACTAGCTTTTAAGTAGGCTTTTAAGTGTTTAATAAAGAGAAATTACCATTAATATGATTATTTTTTCAAGACTTATCAATATCAGATATCCAAAAATATTTGCCCACATAAAAACAACAATACATGAATTTGTACATTTTATGTTTTACATCTGTGGGCATTTTCCCTGCATGTATATCTGTATACTGTGTATGGGGAGTGGATGAAGTCCTGAAGGAAAGTGTATGGTTGACATAGCATGCCCATGCTAAGAACTCCAATGCCTGAGACCTATGAGAATACTAAGGCTTCCTCCTAGAGCACATGTTGACAGCATGTGCAGAAAGTTATCAACAATAGCTTCCTCCCTGTGGATGACTATGGCCTGAGACTGGTCCTCTACAGAGACCTCTTACCTATGTTAGCTAACCTGCCACAGTATGAATTGATTATGATAAAAATCACTCTACAGGGTTACTAGATATGTTAAATATCTTCATATTTTTTAATGTTTGACCCATGTTGCCTTGGCCATGAGTTTTCATACCATTTCAGTAACATTTACTATTCTTTCCTCAATCTGAGTAAACCAGGAATAATACTCCCACTAAAAAGGAATAAACATAGGCATTTGTGATGACCCCATAAGGGACAGCTGAAAGAACTCTGGTCCATATTTCCCCTCGAAAAGAGGAAATTATAAACTGAAGTCTTGGCAAGGTCCCTCCTAACATGAATATCCTGTCACTATTAGTATGTACACACACATGACTGCCCAGTATTGAAATATAACTTAGAAGACTATATGCTTTATCTGACCTTTCCAAAAATGGGTTGTGGTAAATAGTGAATATGAGGATTATGAGAATTATAGTCCCTTTAAAGTTTTAGCTGGAAATACAGTGATAGCATAGATTTTCCACAAATATCACAATGTATTCAAATATTTTCCTATAAAATAAGTTTTCCAAAACATGTGAGTTCTATGCAACTTGTTATGACAAATGTTATATATTTTCAGAATAGAAAACTAATTATAATGATAATAGCAGTAGTGTATGAATTTTTTAAAACCTGTGGTAGCTTTTATACTAGATAAAATAGATATGTATAGGTACATACTAAATAGACAGTAAAAGATAAAATAGATATTTATGTTTCTATGTCTAATAGTTGGACATATAAAACCTAATGTAAGCAAATATATTGTTAGATCTTAAGTTACAATGATCATAAAAAATTTTTAATTTTTCACTTACCGACTGATGAGCTGCTATATATCCATGAGCACTTTTATCTGAAACGTCAGAAGAAAGAAATCACCTTTGTTTCATAAATCCTATTAAAAAAACTGATTGTCTTTGATGAGAGGAAATTTAGCATTAAATCTATGACAAATGGAATGTTTCTCTCTTTAAAATGGCTCATTTAGGCCAAATCACATTTTCAGCTAGTCACTTAAAATTTTGTTTTAAAATTGTTTCAGCTTTTTTAATCTTTATTTATTTGTTTTCATTTTATATACCAACCCCAGTTCACCCTCCCTGCCCTTCTCCCACCCCTGTCCCCCTTTTTACTCCCCCCCATCCACTCCTCAGAGGGGTAAGGCTTCCTTTGGGGAATCAACAAAGTCTGGCCTACCAAGTTAGGCGGAACCAATCTTAATGAAGGAGCAATGATATAGCATTTCCTCCTTGCTCTAGATGCTAAATGATTTGCTTTATAAAACCAACACATATGACTTTTCTCATAAAGTGATAAATAAAAATAAAAATGATAAATGACAAACAAAATATTAAATATGAAATGATAGGTGAAATGTGTACAAAAAAACTAATGAGATCAACATTTGGGATAAATGTGGGTTATGTATACATCAGTAAATGAAGTCACAATTTGGTATTAACAATGGTATTTCAATCTCTACAAATAGAAATGTGCAGTTTCCCCACTCCCGGCCTCCGCCAATTGGGAGACTGAATGATACTAAAAGACAAGCACAAAAGTTGTTCTGTATTGTCAAGGAGCAGATAAATTACTTTAAGGGACAAAATAAATTTCTAAAGATCATTGTTCATCCATATACTCTTATTTCATAATCATAGTCAAGGCCTAATCTGAAATGACTGTCTAGATTGACACTAGTGTAGACTTAGCACTGTGATTGCCTATTCAAGCTAACCCTCACTGCTCTACTGAACAATTTCCTTATTTGTACTACAACAACATCCAACTAAATCAAGGCTTCTAAAGTGAGGGTCATATTCCCACCTCATGTGTTGGTAGATTTACACTGAAACCATTCGCAGAAAATACTGAAGCTGATCTCAATATTCTATAGATATTTTGGCCTCTTCATGAGGCTCTGAGAGCTGGGATTTATTCTTCACTCTTTGATCCATAGAATTTCCCTTACCTCCTGATGTAAAGCTCATGTATTTCTGGTTGTTGACAGTTTCTTTAGAGTCATAGAATTTGAGAACATCGAGAACAGCTTGTGGGTTCTTCTTCTGTTCCAGTTTTGTTATGTTGGAGGTTTGGAGTAATCGTGCCCATTGCTCGGGAATTCCCTGTGGACAACCAAAGGGAAAGAATGGCTGCTCAGAACATCCATCAGAAGGATATGGATGTTCCAGTAAAGCTCTTCACCAAGAAGCCCATGCTACCTGTAGGATTACACTTGGGAAACTGAAGTTACAGTCTAGGTTTAACGTTAGTAACTTAATAATGCAATCATTCTCTTCTCTATTCAAAACACATAGGTAAAACTAGGATCCAACTTAAAAAGGGTGGGTGAGAGTATGATTGTGATAAAAAAGAAAAAGCACATGGAAATCACCTCCATATTGATTCTGCTCATCCATGAAATGATGTTTGCAGCTTAGCTTGTTTTTTTCTGGCGACTCAGGGCAGACATAGCAAGACTTCTCTAAATTTGTGCACGGTATAGTATAGTGCAGATCAATGGTTTTTTTGTTTTCTGTTTCTGTTTTTAAATGACTGGAGCTCTTTTGGGGTATGTTTTAACAAGAATATCCTTTTACATAAAGGAAAGCCTTACCCTTGGTCAGTTTCTACTTTCTGTTTACAAAACGTAATTTAGGGATTTTAGGGCTTTATGACAAGGTCAAGTTGGGAGGAGATAAACTAGAATTGCCGAGGAGCAATGACCACTTAAACACTAAACATTAACATGTATGCTGCTTTGGTTATTTTTCGGGCAGCTTTCTCCAAGGCACACCTTCCTCCTCTCCTCCCCACCTTTCTTCCTCCCTACTTCATTCATTGGCCACATAGAAACCGGGGACTGTAAAACCATACCAAAGCTTTGTGAGAATTTGTAATGACTAATATGAAGCATTTAGAACACAGAGGAGGAATACTCAGAAATCTAATCAAGGCAAATTATTTAAAATTACAGAGAGGTTAGCTTTACACTGAGCATTCAGTATTCTGTCCTGCGTGTTCCTTTTATAATTATCCAACCTCCAAGAACAGCTCGGAGAGAGAAACGAATACATGATTGCTGAAGTGCATCCATACACAATATTTTTTATGGCTTTGTCCCATGAAGTCTCGGCAAAACAATGTGTGACATGGGCCTCCAGAGTTTGGGAATGACAACAAAAAAGTGAGATAAGCCAAGCAACGACTCTACTGCACACACATGAACCTGCTACTGCAGTGCTATGACATCTCAAAGAAGCACTTTGATGCAAGCTTCTTTTGGGCCTGTGACGCACCTCTGGGAGCTTCCCTGGGCACATCTGTGAGCCATAGAGATCTGGCTGTAATGGACGTAAATAAAGAAAGAAAAGAAAGTTAAAACAGAATGTGGGACAACTTAGAAGGTGGGAGGAGATGAATGGGGGTTCCCCCTTTAAAGTGGTGCAGTCATAGAACTAGGGAGATATTCACTAAACCAGGGACAGGAGAGGCTACAGGACAACGGATTTAAGAGAACAAAGAAAACAATAGTGTTCCAAAGTTTGGATATATAATTCCACTTTGGGCTCGATGCTTCCTCCATAAATAATAATTACCATTAAAAGATTTGGAGGGGCAAAGGATGGCATTATGGAAAGCTTTAATCATCATTTGTATGTTGCTTTTATAACTGGTCATCACAGATAGCCAATGGTCATGGGATAGACTTACACATTTCAGTTCCCAATTCTGGTTAACTAAATTTCCATTTCACATTAGACATATCTATGTGGTTAAAATTCAAAGGATGGCTACTGAATTGACATTACTCTTCTGTATTTTGTGGATAAAGTCATGGGTGGCTTAAAGCCATCCCCCTACATAGCCACTGTGCTTAGGTTTAATACACACTTAAATCAGGCAAAGGGAAAACATTTCATTTCAAATCTTGCATGAATGATTTCAATTTATTGATATAGTTCCCAAATCCCACTTCCCACAAATAAGATCAGATAAAATTTGACAGATTTATCTAATTTATGATATCTTAAATGCTAAAGAAACATGCTTTGACCCAACTGCTTTGATTTGGGATATATGTCTTTGATCCCTGGCATTGATGGTTACTCCAAGCACAGTGAAACAACACTTTTACATGCATTCATCACGCAGTTTGATGCTAAAGCCTTAAGCCAAAAATTGGAACTCAGGAGCCCATGCATGATCCCAGTTCTGATTCTAAGTGCAATTAATAGCATTTGGTTAATACTGTAATGGCCAAAGGAGTTATTAAGTGTTACGAATCCAGGTATGCATTGCACATAACCACTAAAGCAGACTTCACTGGCATGATCATTACCATAATCATTAAGAATATTTTTAGATATTAATTATATATTCTCATAGCACGTCTAAACATTTTGTAATAAATAGCTGTGTGATCATCACTGGACAGCAGAAAAAAAATGCTGTTAATTGAAGAAATTCCTCCTCTACTTACCACATGACTACACTGCTGACATAATTTCTCTTTTACAAGATGAGGCAAACCAGTTCAACAGTGAGACCTGATTACTATAATTTGAGCATAAGCCACAATGGCACATAATCAGAGAGCCATCTCACTACTCCAAATTGAGGAACTAATCTAAAAAGTTTGACAGCTAATGATGACCTAAGAATCTAAGCATCAGAAGCAGGAGCACATGTCGATGCCTGTATATATATATATACATATATATAGTAACAAGTAGGTGTACATCAAGCTGGGAGTGTCCAGTGTAGCCCAGGAGAATGGCAGCATGATATAACAGGCCAAGCATTTATCTTATCATAAGAAATGATAATTTATATCACTCATACCATTTTTCCCTCTGATTGACTTGAAGCGACCGTCACAGGTCTAGAGGTCTGGAAAGGGGAGTTCTGAAGTATTTGGGACAAAAATGGCAATATAATGGGTAAGGACTTGTAATAATTTAATAACCCAAATCTCACCTCCCATCCTAATTTTAGCTTTAGGGTCCAAGTACATGCCCAGGGATACAAGGTTATACGAGCCAATTAGCCATTAGGGTAATCACCAAGCAACATATCAAACTAGTGTTCAATTATTCAAAAGAGCAGGCACTTGTAAAACAACTGGTCTACAGTTCAGCAAATTGCTCAGATTCAACATCCACAACCACAATAATTAAATTTCACAATCTGATTTCCCCCAACAAACGACCTAATGGTATCTATGGCAATTAAGACCCAATTCTAAACACTACCAATAGAAGTTTTAAAGGATTATTACCTTTGGTGGTTTAAAAGTTAAATGTACTAGCATATTAATTGTAAATCATAGGTTAAGATAATAAAGAAGGTAGAAATTATGATTATTTAAAAAATTTATGTATGAGTAGCTGCAAGGTCATCAAGATGAAAACAAAACACTTCAAATGACCAAATTTGCTATGTGTCAGTCTACGAGGTCAATGAATTTCTATTAGTTGACTGTAAACAGCTATTTCATTTGAAATGAATTTCACAAGAGGATGTTGTTTGGTTTGGTTGCACCAGGGCTAGGAAGGCTGTCTATCCTGTATTCCACTTCTCTTGGGTTTGGTTCACTGGGTTATAATTCAGACCACAACGGAAATGGTCAATGCTGCAGTCAGCAAGATGGCGGTGATTTAGTTGCCCTTTATTTCCATTAAGAAACCAGAAAAACTAAAGAAAGGGCTAAAGGTGGGGGGAACGTAGCAAAAGATGTCAAGCAGGCAGAAAGAAATAAAAAAGTGGAAGTGAACCAGAATGCCAAATGAGAAAAACCCAAAAAGCAGATGAGCAGAACCCAAAAAAGAAGAACAAGAAAAGAAGACAAACTAAGAGAAGTGTCCAGAGAAGCATAGAGGAAGTGAAAAAAAATGAAGCACTTAAAATAAAAGAGAGAAACTATTAGGCAAGACTATAAAGTTTGAGGGCTTTCCCCATTTCAAATATCTGAAAAATGGTTAGAAACTCTTTGGATGGTTTTAATCACACAATACGGTCAGAGTATAAGAACAACTTTTATCTGGTGACAAAGATGAACGTGAAACAGTGTTGATAATTGGTTTTTAGTTTTGAAATGTGGCCAGTGAAATAAAAGCTGGGCTCAAAATGAATGACATTTAAGTAGTGTCTTTGATTCAAACAACACAATTCATTAAATCCTATCTATCTCAGTTGAAATTATATCTATCTCACTTTCAGCAGTCTTGTTAGTTCTGCACATTTTTTCTGCTTTCTTCCGAGAACATGGAAATAATCAGGCTACACCAATGTATGAGGCCAAGGCATTTTCCTCTGTTTTGATTTCATTCTTGCACTGCTTGTTCCAGAATTGAACAAATAAAATAACGTGGCTGTCAATTAAGCAATGCAGTTTAGTTCTCTAGATCAAATTGACTTGCTTCTTTCCCCTCTCTTTAATCACATGACACAGTCCATAAACTAACTATTATACTATGAGATGGGGAATTTGACTGTTCAATGTCTATATTTTTTTTCTATTTAGTAAAACAACATTATTGTGATTTTATCAAAGTTTTAATTTTCTAAATTCATTTGAAGCTTTTTATTATTTCAGAATGCACATATTGATTGTTTACTAGTGTAGAAAAATTAGCTGAAATATTGGGTCATATTTGTAGCAACATCTTACATCTTTCCCTCACCCATCTAATATAGGGGTGCCAAACAATTTCTTTAGAGGAATGAAGTGGCATATATCTGAGAGCTTGTTCTATATGAGCACTGCAATTATCCAAAAAGGGAATACATCTAGACCTATGTCATATCCAGATAATTCATGTTGAAAATTATTATAGATGATTAATACATAATGAATATGTAATAATATAACTAACTATTAATGCATATGTGATATACAATCATTAATATTTCTTCCTGAAACATGGGGCTTGTGGTTTTGAATGTCTATAAAACAAACCTATTAATAATCTTAAAAATAATCTATGTTCTTAAAATCAAAGGGGTTAAGAGGCAAATTTTACAGAAACTTTTGGTAGTGTAGTTAGCCGATCTGTGTAATTCAGGGCCCACTGGAAACACTGAATTATTCAGATGAACTGCTTTCACTAGCCAAGTTGAATAAATTATTATTTGATTAGCTCTACATGATTAAAGAACAGGTTCAGGCAGGGTCTCTTATTATAGCTACATTTCCTGTGCCTTGGCAAATATTTTCAACTTAGTTGAAAATTATAGGTGATAAGACTTTTTTTTATATAAGATGGACAGAATAATCTTGTCAATGTTCTTTCCCACTTTCTGTTTCTATGTATGATTTTCCAGGAAAAGTCCATCTCCAATCTAACATTTTGAAATATAGCAATTCTTACTTGAAACCTATTTTCGTAAAGGAAATAGGTTTTTTCATGGCTTACAAAGCAAAATAAGAAGCTTACTTACAGTGAATTCCCCGGTGACTGCATCAAACCCCACATGAATCGTATGTTCAAAGTCTGAAGGAAGAGAGATCTCTGGGCGTTCTTTCTCTTTCTTCTTATTGGCTAAAGACAAAATGTTAACATGTATTTATTTGAGGTATAGTTTTGGCTTCCCTAAGCTGTATAAGTAGGCTCATCAAAGCAATTATAAAATAGAGACAGCTGATGGGCTTACATCTGAAATTTAAAATGTAAGATTTAGGGGAGGAAGGTGAAAAAAATTAAGATTCAGTATTTTCAAGAACCTATATACTGTGTAGCTTAACCTCAGAGAAGACGTCATTGCTTTTAGCAAGCTTGCTCCAGTAATTCATATTATCCTTGCTCAACAGAGACTTGAGATCTCTCAGTTGTTAGTATAAACTCCTCTGGAGGTTTGCATATCGTACTAGCTATTTATGCTTGGTCAACTGTGAATTTTACTTCTTCAGAGGAACAAATAGCACAGCTTCCTCTTGTTCTTGTTCCACTGAAGTAACACCTGTGGACTTTGTCTTCCTTTTCCTCTTTTCTGATCGTTCATCCTTCCTGGATATGGCTAACCATGTGCCTCTTCATTTCCTTGACAGTGTGATCAGATTTTCTTCTTCACACAATAATTATTATTTGTTTGAGTATCCTTGTGTTTGTTGGTTTACTTTCCCTAGTGCAGTCTTTGCTCTTCTGCAGTTTTTCTCTATACAAAATCTTTTCCCCTAGACTAACTCTACTCTCAGACACAAACCTATGTTAAGCAATTCCCCAATCTGGGTGACCGAGGTGGATCAAGCTATTATAATGCCAAAATACTTCACACACTTTGAAAAGAGACTTTTGAGCCGGGTGGTGGTGACACACACCTTTAATCCCAGCACTCAGGAAGCAGATACAGGAGGATCTCTGTGAGTTCGAGGCCAGCCTGATTTGCAGAGTCAGTTCCAAGACAGACTCCAAAGTTACACAGAGAAACCCTGTCTTGAAAAACAAAAAAACAAAACAAAACCAAAAAAAAAAAAAAATAAATAAATAAAAGAGACTTTTATGTAAGTAAAAAAACAATAGATAATTATAAATACATAATTCATAATTTATCAAGGCTCCTTACGGTTTTAGGAGTGTTACACTTGAATGCAGAAGGCTGTTGAAGTAGCTTTATTTATTTCACAGAAAAATCTGAAGAAATTATAGGACATCTACCCATCAAAATGTAGTAAAGCTATATACATAATTTTGCATTTACTTTCAGAAGTTCATATCTACTTAGATTCCAGTTGAAGAACCTCTATATTATGCCCCTATATCTTTATATCAACCATCATCCATGGCTTTTTTGCCACTAAATATTGTTCCCTCTTGTCTACTGGCTGCACATTTATGACAAACTGTTTTAGGTACAAATACTCCCCAGAGGCAAATCTCTGTATAGACTTCACTCAAAGTCTAGAAAGTTGCTTGATAGCCAGTCTTTTTGCCATCTGTTGAGGCCAAGTGGAAAAAGCAAGAAACACAAACTTGTTCCTCTTCTGGTTTCCTATCTCACGGAAGTAATACCGCTAATTATTGAGATTAGACAAGGAACATGGTCTTAGACTCCTCTTTGGGGACAAATGGAGCAAAGAAGAGGTTTATCCATTTCCAATAGATTATCGAAAGAAATTATTCCAAAATGTACAAGGAAATACATCGTATTATGACTTGTTTGTTTTAGATTTATCTTAGCTTATTTTACTTTACTGTTATTCCTTACATAGCTGTTTGTTTTCTAAAAGAGACACAAAATGGGTGGATCCATGTTGGGGGCAACAGGAAAGGACTGAGAGGAGGAGGAGGAGAAATTATAATCATAATATAGTGTATGAAGAAACTCCCTTTTAATAAAATAAAAAATTAAAATAAAAAGTTGTATATTCAAATCATAATGTTCCCACATAACTACTAAGTAATCTTACACTGGCCCAGATAACAAACCAACAATTTGGGAGTCATCTTAGATTTTTTACTCTATTTCTACATAATTGGTCTAGCTTCTGAAATGGTATTTAGTCTATCTTTTTTGATTTTCAGAAGTCACTACATTTGTCCAAGGCATCAGTATTTCCCTCCTCGCCCACTGCCTCCAGTTTTGTCCCCTCTGACTCATTATTCTATTCTGAGACCAGGTCTTATTCTTTCCTTTAAGATCATTTGAATGTTCCTCTCATTATGTGTTCCTGAACATGATATCTAATAGCATGCATGACTTGGTCACAGTTTACCTACAAAGCTTCTATTGTTGCCATGGAACCCACTATCCACATTCATTTATTGCTTCCTAAGTAGATGTGTTTTCTCTTTCCTCCAGGCTTTTGTTTATGCTAAGCTATTGCTTATAACATTGAACTTCCTACCTTCTTCTGCCAGCTGTGTGTGGATTACACCAATTTGGTTGCTACTCTTTTTGTTCTATTTCCATTTGCAGTGCTGGAGATCAAACCCAGAGCCTCTCAAAACTTAGGACTATGGACCCAGATTTATACAGCTGGCAAAGATCAGAACTAGTACTTGAACCTAATTCTCACTAGATCCACGAACCTAAGCTTGTAGTAGCCAGATAACTGGTGACCTGGTGGCATTTTCCAGAAAAGAAAAAAAAATTGTCTTTGCCTTCAGCAAATATTTAATTAACTAACTAATAATTCAGAGCTTAGATAACTGATTTTTATTTTACTTTATTTCTTAAGAATTCTAAAATGAGTTTATCTCCCTCAAAAATTCTGGGAGCATTGGTCATATATACTAACCTGGCTGTTGGGCTAACATTCAACCTGATTAGCTCATGGTTGGTATTTGCAGAGAACATATATTCAAGTGAGCATTGCTGTTTAAATCTAACTTTCATGTTGTGCCAGAAAAGAGAAAAAACTAACAAATTTCTGGCTAAACCACAAATTGCAAATGTCATTTGGCTTTGGGACGTTCTAAGTAGGAGTAAATTTTCCTTGTTACCTTAGGGCTAGCTAAACCATCAAAAATCTCATACTTAGCCATCCATCTCTATTCTATCATCATATAAAGAAGCAAAAGCCCCTCTAGTAATCTATTGCCCCTTCTATACCCAATCCTAGTATTCTGTATTCTTTCTAGAGCTAAAGTTCATATGATTAAGGAAAAAACTCTCTTTTAACTTACACTTATTCAATAAATGCTCTCATTTCATGCCACAGGTTCTCAAATTTCTCTGTAAATCACGGTTATCTGGAGGATGTATATTAAGAATGAGATGTATTAACCCTACCCTAGATATGTGGATTGCCAATTATCTGATGATGATGTGAGCTTCTTCAAATATCCTAGTGGAAGCTGTTTCTTCTCGATCCCAAATCCTTTCTACCTGCCAGAATGAGGAAGTTACACTTTATTCCAAATTGTTTAATCTCAAGTTGTTTATTTGAGGTAAGTTCTTCCACACTTGTCTATGAATTGCTCTCCTTTAGAGGCTATTGGCACTTTCTCCTCCTATTCATTCCCCTGTGGCCTTTGAAGGCCTTGGCTTTCAGTTTTCCATTCTAATCTCTACACTGGCATTGCTCTGAAACAGAAGATAAAAGTGGGCAACTTCATCATGCCTTTTCCTTAGGGGGATCCTTAACCTTCCTCAGATCTGCTCAGTGTTCTTATCCTTTCATGTTTTTCAATCCACTCACTCCACCATCTTTTAAAGGAATGGTTCCTAATCAGGCTTAACCAGAATACCATGGATAATTATATAAAATTTCAATGTCCAGTGCCTACTTAGAACTGACTCTCAGGCTTTCTGGAGGTAATACCCAGACAAATGATTTTAAAACACCAGAGACAAAGTGTAGCTAGGGTGGAGAACCCTAAGTACTCTGGGTGCTTTCATTATCCAGAAGAAGCTTTTCTTTGAAATATTCAATCCTGTGTTCTCATGCTCCAGACTCCCATCCATTTAAACTTTTAATTCTCGCAATTTCTCACTCATATGTCCATTTCTACATCGATGTCAATAAAACCTCCATTCACTGGCTCTTTCTATTTTAAGGCAATTTCAACACCTCCCTGGCCTACATTCTATGATATGCCATGTAAATGGTTCCTACTCTACAGTCCTAGGAACTCTCACTCCATGAATTCCTCTAGCAATTGTCTGACAAAGCTCCACCTGACATAGTGCAACCCCAAATCCCTCTACTTCTATACTAAAGTTGCTGAGGATTGCTGGCTGGAGGGATTACATGGCAATGTGGATTCTTTTATTATTAAGGTCACATACCTAGTTAGCACACTAATGATTCTTGAAAGATTCTTTGTCTTCTTCCTTTTTATTATTACCCTCTCTACTGGAACTTTCACTTAGGCTAAAAAGACATGCTGAGATCTCTGTATTAAAAAATATCCTTCAACCTCCTCATATCCAGGACTCACTGCAATAATCACTCACCACTTCCTTATGTGGGTTAAATTTCTACAAAAATCAATTGATATTTTACCTCTCACTTCCCCAACAACTGTAATATCTCCTTGAAGACATGAATTAATCTCTCTCCTTCCCAAGTGCCACTTTTCAGCCTTTAAACCACTCACTGTCTTCTCAATGAGAGCCAACATCATTGATTTAAAACATCTTGAAACTCCTCTACATAGCTCTTTCCTAGAATCCATTCCTATATTTCTGGCCTTTCCTTTTTAGACTTATTAAGAATTGTTTCCTGTTGGTTGGTTAGGTCACCTCATCAACACACTCTCCCTTGAGTAATCTCTTCAACACACCTTTATTTCAGCATCTAGACTATCTTCACACTATAGGCTCTTTCAGCTTTGCCTCACCACAATCCTAACCCCAGTGTAGATAACTGGCCATTGGACATCTCAGGTTGCTTGCCTCCCTGGCTCTTTATGGCAAATATTCCTGAACCTTCATGAAACTTTATTTCCTTGGTTTCCTACCTCACCCTTCTCCAGCTCCTCTTCTTGCAACCTGAATCATTTTCCACTTTTCTTAGTTCTCCTTTCTAAATACTGCACCTCTATTTCCTATCCTACTTCTAATGATACCAGTGGCTAAGTTGACTAACTTATCTTAA